ATCTGCAAGGCAAAGCTCTGGGCTGGTCAAAGTTGGAGGCCACTTTCTATCTTTTTCTATCATTTTCAACTCAAATCCCCTTTGGTGCAGGCCGCAGAGATGGAGTCCTGCCCTTGCTTCTTGGTCAGCCTTTCTGGATTTCTGCGTATTTTTCTCCACCGACAACCTCTCTCTCCTTGGCCATCAGAATGATTTATATTCCTGCCACTGATGCCTGCCGGCCAGGAGAAGTCTGATCACTTGGTCCATTTCAAAAGAAGCAAAAGCGAATCACCATCCTTAGGGTTGGGTGGGGGATGTGGAAAGAGGTACCTTCAGAGCTCTCTCTCTCTCTCTCTCTCTCTCTCTCTCTCTCTCTCTCTCCCTCTCTCTGGGGATGTGGAAAGAGGTACCTTCAGAGCTCTCTCTCTCTCTCTCTCTCTCTCTCTCTCTCTCTCTCCCTCTCTCTCTCTTTTCTTTCTGGCTTGATGGTTTTAAGGTAATTTTTTGGTACCTAAAAGTGTTATCTTTTGAACCCTCCAGCACTGTCAGTCTCAAGTCTCGGAATTGGGAAAAGAGGATGAAGAAGAACCTTTATAATTCCTCCTTGGGTCGCCCTCTCCCGGCAGTGCTGTTTCCCCTGACAGAACCCGGGTGCAAACCTCTCTAGTGCCCAAGGAGTAGGAAGGTTCGAGAAGCAATTCAGACTGCTAAGGAACACTCGCTGCATCTGAGACAACCAGCCCCCAACCAGAGCGACAAGGACAAGGAGAAGGGTAGGGAGAAAAGAAGGGAACAAGCAACTTCTTCCTTCCTGCTGATAACTTCCAACAGACTTCCTGGAAATCGGAAATACTCACCACACCCGAGCCCCACGGGTATGAAACCCAGAATGCCAGGAGCCGCAAGCGCCAGCTTGGGGAGGCATTTCTCTGGCTGGCCGCCGCCCTGGCTACAGGGATTTGGACACATGAACCTGGTCTTGCTGTCTCTCTTGGCACATGCATCTATCTTTCTCCAGCCACTCCTGAGAAGTTGACGCGCAGGGAGGTCGAGAAGCTTCGAGAGCCGCCTCCCGTTTTCCGCTTCCCGTTGGAGCCAGATGCAAAGCTGCCGTGTGATATAGAAAAGAGTGGGAGGGGGAAAGGGGAGAAGAGGAAATAGAGGGAAAGAGAAAGAGAGTGGAAGGGAAACAGGAGGGAGGGAGAGGGAGAGACCAGGTCTGAGGTCCAGTTTACTGGTTCTGGGAAAATTAGAGGAGGAAAGGCAAATAAAAGGGGAATCCCCCAATCTTTCTCCTCTTTTCTGTCTCCTCTCCCTCCCTAGAAAAGAGTGGGAGGGGGAAAGGGGAGAAGAGGAAATAGAGGGAAAGAGAAAGAGAGTGGAAGGGAAACAGGAGGGAGGGAGAGGGAGAGACCAGGTCTGAGGTCCAGTTTACTGGTTCTGGGAAAATTAGAGGAGGAAAGGCAAATAAAAGGGGAATCCCCCAATCTTTCTCCTCTTTTCTGTCTCCTCTCCCTCCCTCTCTTTCTTCCTCTATCATCTCTTCTTTCCCTCTGTTCCTTCCTTCTGCCTTAGCAGAACTTATGTGGCTGGGATGCGGGGCCCTCGGGTGTCAAAACTTTGAAGATTAATGGATTACTTTGTTAATGACTGCGGGCGTCAGAGTGAGGTGCTTAAATGATTTGTGAGG